CATGCATATATGCAATTTTTAATCAATCATATTTCATTGCTTTTATCGGTTCTTTACAAAATATACATTCACCTTTTGACCTGGTAAATTGAATACAGTATGAAAGTGTAAAACAAACAAATCATTCACCAATGATATCTATCCATTCCTGTACTTTCCGGATTAATCAATTCAGGTTAATTCATCAAAGCTTTCCCGCAAAGCATTCCTAATTACCGTATATCATTCATCTATTCACTATTTGAACAAATTTTTAATTATACCTTTAAAAAAAAAAGACATCATAATACTTAATTTAAATCGAAAATAATTTACTACTCACAAAAATTCATTTGCCTAAAAAAAAATACATTTCTTAAATTTTATAATTTTGATTAAAAAAAAAAATAAAAATATAAATAGTAATCAATTTTTCAATATTTCTTCTCTTAATTGCAAAAATGTTTAAAAAAAAAAAATACATAAATAATAATCAATTTTTTATCAATATTATTTCTTCTGCTTAATTGCAAAAAAAAAAATAAAATAAAAGAACAATTTTCTTTATTTAATAATTTCATTTTCTCTTTTTTTTTTTTTTTTGTTTGAAATCAATAACATTACAAATTCTAATATATGTGTATGTCTGTCTGTGTGATACAATACAAAAACATTTAATTTTCTTCTAAAATGACCAAAAAAAAAGTGGGTAAAATTAAAAAATGAATAAAATCGGGAAAGGAAATAAAAATTGGTAAAATTGATTGCATTTTGTATTTTCTCATTTCTTTTTTTCTTTAGTTTTGCTATCATCGTTATGCATGCCACTTAATGAAAACAAAAAAGGAAACAAGAAAAAAAAAAAACGGAAAACCAGCCGGAAAATTTGTACTTTCTTTGACACAAATAACAAAAATATAAAGAAAAAAAAAAAGAAAGAGGAATGATAGTTTTTTTTCTCTCTCCCTTTCTCTCTCCTCCCTCTCTCTCTTGATTTTTGTTTTGTTTTGTTTTTTTTTTTTAAATTCTACTTTTAGCGTGGGAATGGAGTAAATTAAATAAAGATAGTTAGATAAGTCAAAAAAGGAAAAAATATGCAAAAATGTAACGAATAATATTGGAATGATTTACACTTTAAAATGTTTTGTCTATTTCAAATTTTAGGTTAGCAAGAAAATATTTTATTTTGTCTTCTGATTAGCTATTATTGAAATGAAATTTGAAATGCAAAAGTGTAAAATTATAGGGCAATAAATTAAATTTAGAATCAAATTGAGTATTTCATTTAAATATAAACGTTTAAATTAAATTTGAAAATTTTAATTTAAATATATCTTTAATACATCTATTATCTATTATTAAATATATATCTATTAAATTAATATCTATTATTATATTAAATTTCATCTCATACAACAAAATAATAAACTTTTATATTACAAAAACCTCACATCTCTCTCTCTCTCTCTCTCTCTCTCTCTCCCTGTCATTTAGTTCTAATTTGAATAATTCCCTAATATATTTAGAGAAGTGTTTAACCTTTGTAATATTTTTAGAAAAATAATGAAAAAAAAAAAGAAAAGAGAATGAAGGAAGGAAATTGTTCATTTATAATTTCATTACTACCCATAAAGATTTTAAATTAAATCTATATCCAATTTAAATTCTTTAATTTTTCAAAATAAAATTTCAATTAAATTGGAAGAAAAAATCATGCTAATGAAATAAAATTACTATTCTGAAATTAAAATATTCTCCATGCTAATAAAAAAAAAAAAACTACTATTTCTGAATTTAAATTTTATAGCAATTTTTACCTTTGACCTTTAAGGGAATTTCTCATTTTGGAAAGGATTCTTACGCAATATTTACTCTCTACTACTACTGCTACTATTTAGCAATTTCTATTGTTCAATAAATTTTCACAGCCGTAAAATTGATATTATTCAAAAATAAAAAACGAAATAACATCAATGGTGTGATCTATGATGACCTAAAATAAAGAAACTGTAATGAATGAATTAGTGTCACCAGAAATGAAAGAATGAAATGAAAGCTTACCGATCACAAAAGAATCTAAAATTCATTTTAGTATTTCTAATTTGAAAATGATTAAAGCCAATAACCGATAAAAAGAAGAAAGAAATGCCTTAAACTGATATATGGGAAAAAACTGGTTTTTATTGGATTAGTAATAGATGAAGGAAAGAACAAAAAAAAAAAAAACAATTTGACAAATAATAGTTGACGGACAGATGAGATGATAAAATAACATAAAGTTAATTGCGGTATGAGAAAATTACTTATCCACCAGAAGTAATACAATTCATTTGTAATAATTGAATTTTTTTTTTTAAAAAAATTAAATTAAAATTTAAGTCGATAAAAGTTTTCTAAAAATATAACATGAAAGAAAAGAAAAGAAAAAAAAACTGAAATTTAAATATAACATGAAGGAAAAAAAAATTAAAATTTGAAAAAAAAAAATGAAATTTTAGAAAAGAATTTTTATTTTAATTTTAACATATAAGAGTGTTTAACAAATGGATTATAATGCAAATCTAAAATTATCAAAAGTAAAAAATTGAATAACGTATTCTTCAGTCGTACTTGATTTGAAAAAAAAACAAGTAAACGTATTTCACGTAGAAACGTAAAATATAGACATTTCATAAGGTATATGTCTACATTAAAATTTATAGCAATTTTATATGCGTTCAATAACGTAGATAACAAGCATTTCTTTACGCTCATCATCTACTAGGAATTTAAAATATTACGCAGACTTAAATATCTAATAATAAATCTTACGTAAACGATTTATGCAAATTTTCAATTTTAAAAATCTTAAATTTAATTTAAAAATTAAAATTTGTTTTCCAAGTGATAACATATTTTAGTATGAATGTTTTGAACATAAATGAGGCATTATGTGTTCTTAAAGTAAAGTAATTGTAAAGTAAGTTTAGGTAGTAATATTCGAGATGAAATCTAATTTTAAAACGAAATGAAATTTTGTCACAATTTCAATGAGATAGAGAAGATGGATAGATAAAGTTAAAAGTTAAAAAAAAAAAAAAAAAAGAAAACTTACTTCTAGTTGGTGAATCAACATGAGAAGAAGTACGACCATCTGAAACGGACGGTGATAATTCTGAAATAATTTCAATAATTTAGGATATTGCATTTTTTTTTTTTTTTAATATCAAATATTGTTTTTATTATTTAAACTAGTATTGTTGCATTAAAACAAAATGTTATTTATCAATCAAAGAAAACAAAAATTTGGAGCAATAACATTTATTAATTATTATTCTAATTTAATTTTCCCTCAAATTTATTTAAATAACAGCATAAAATGTAAATTTTAGCAAGTAATATGTATTTAATTAAGTAAAAAATATTAATTAAATATTAATTCGTTATCTTCTAGAATGATTGATTATGAGAGAATTATGCAAAATAAAAAAAAAAAAAGCACATCTAACTAAGAAAAAATTTCCATAGCAATCATGCAAATCTTTTTTTTTCCTTTTTTAACAAAGGAAAAAACGTTGAGAGAAAGGGAAAGAGAAAGAGAGAGAGAGAGAGAAGATTTTCATCATTCAAATTTATTGAATGCTGATAGATAGATCAGATAACTTGAAATGAAATACTGAATCATATCATCATGTTTTCCGTTTAATTTTTTTTCCTCCTCTCTTTTTATTTTAGGATTAAGAAGAAATAAATATATCGTTTCATTCACATCAAAACATTATCAATTATCAATTTAACGGATCTTTCTTCTTCTCTCTCTCTCTCTCTCTCTCTCTCTCTCTCTCTTTACTCATTCAAATATATCCTCTTTTACATACATTTAGTATTAAAATACAAAATATTGTCAACATCTTATTAATTGCTTAGCTGATAAACTGATAACCTATTATTATCACATCAAACTGATAACCTATTATTATCACATCAAACTGATAACCCATTATTATAACATGCATTACATTACGGTAGTGCAGTAATGCACATTTTAAACTCATAATCGATTATATTAGTATTACTTCTTCAGGTCAAAGGTTATTCACGTATTAAATACCGTAACATTTCCAATTATTATGAATTAATCTTAACTGTCTGTGTTGTTTTGTCTTACTTTTCTCTTTTCTTTTTTTTTTAGATGGTAATAATAAAAACAATAATCCAACCAATAACCTTTAACAACAGTTTTATACCGTAATCCATAGGTATTTATTAATCAATTAGCAATGATTGACCTTTGACATATTTTATAAGTAATTAGTGGTTCAACAGATTATTTAATTATTTATAACTAGTAATTAATTATGGAACAATCTCTTTGTTATATCTATAGTTTTCTTTCTTTCTCTCTCTCCCTCTCTCTCTCTCTCTCTCTCTGTGGTAGTACAAGCATGTTGACTTATCTAATAAAAGGTAACAAACAAATTTGAGAGAATGTTTGACAAAGATTGAATTTCATTCTACTGAAATACCCGCATGCAATGCACACACACATACATACATACAGACAAACATACATACGTACATACATACATACATACATACATACACACACACACACATACATACATACATACATACCTTAGAAGGATGAATTTCTCAACAAAATATGCAGAGTGTGGGCGTGAAAGGATGTTGCTGATATAATGCCTCAGAGAAGGGAAAATGTTAAGTACAAAGATTCCTTGTAATTTGTTTTATTTGTAATCTTCTTGTTGTAGTAGCAAATATTGTTATTGTAGTGACAATTATTTGTTAATGCTACATTTAGCTCTATGCTATTAATTTTAATCTGCTAATAACTATTGCTGTATGATTTACTCTCATTACAATTCTTATACTAACTTATTGATAAAATACCTCTTTGTTTTATTTGTATCACAAATCAATTTATTTTATTTAATTCTTTTTTCTTTTGAAAATTTTTACACTTTTTTTTTTTGAAGTTAAAAAAAGGAAAAATTTTTTTTTTAAAAAAAAAATAAAAATTAACCTGTTCGAGATTGTGGTGAATGATTTTGTAAACTTTGCAAGAGTTGTTGTTGATGTATTAAATTAGCATAATATTGTTGCAAATGTGGATTGAACAATGATAATTGAGCGGCCATTTGATTCGGAAAAACGGAACTACCGGTTGTAGTTGATGTTACAGCCGGAAATGCTGCTGCTGCAGCCATAAATGGTAAACTTGGAAATGCCATTGTTGCAGCTGCAGCTGCAGCTGCAAAACGTTGTTTTTCTTTATCGATATCAGCGGTACTACTACTACTACTACCTGTACTACCACTGCTAGACGGTAATGAACACATTCTTGGCAATGACATCACAAGAAATCTGAAAATAAAATTTAAACAAAAAAAAAAAGAATTAAAATGAAATTTAAAATATAATTATTAATAAGCATGACAGACATCATTTCATTAAATTTCATTAATTTTATTGAAAAATTTACATTTGCCAGTTAATTATTATTTCATTCTTCATTTTATAAAATTAACCTAAAATTAATTCTTACATTAATTAATTAAAATTAAAGCAATATTAAATTCTATTACATCATGATAAATGAGTAGTAATAAACAATATACTGATATGATAGATAAATGTTTGTAATAAAGCTTAACATTTCCCTGTTTATTGGTTTTATCATATGTTTACATAATTTTAAAACAATTTTTGATCTTATTTAAAAATTGATTTTGAATAAAAAAAAAAAAAGAAAGAAAATGAAAGTTATATTAATTGACTATTATTATATAATTATTTCATTTCAAAATTCGAATTCTTATGGGAAATTTAAAACAAATAGTAATGATAATGTTTAAAAATTATGTTAAATTTTTTCATGGAATTAAATATTTGAAAAAAAAAAGACTGCAACTGTTATTGGTTTGTTTCTTTAAAGACATAAGTAAATTTCATTTACTTATTTAGATTGATCTTTTACAATACTTTTCAATTATTTAATCTATCATGTAATTGTTAAGATTTATTTTTATTTTTTTTTTCAAGTTTTCTTTCCATCTTGTTTTTTTCTTAAAAAAAAATTGAAGCATAGATTAAATGAATAAATAAGTAAAATTTTAAATGTGAATAAATGAATGAAATGAAATGAAATGAATGAATGACTGAGTGAATGAGTAACTGAATGAATGACAGAATGAATGAATGAATGACGGAATGAATGAATGAATGACGGAATGAATGAATGAATGAATGAATGAATGACGGAATGAATGAATGAATGAATGACGGAATGAATGAGTGAAATGAGTGAATGACGGAATGAATGAATGAATGAGTGAAATGAGTGAATGACGGAATGAATGAATGAATGACGGAATGAATGAATGAATGAGTGAAATGAGTGAATGACGGAATGAATGAATGAATGACGGAATGAATGAATGAATGAGTGAAATGAGTGAATGACGGAATGAATGAATGAATGACGGAATGAATGAATGAATGACGGAATGAATGAATGAATGACGGAATGAATGAATGAATGAATGAATGAATGACGGAATGAATGAATGAAATGAGTGAATGACTGGATGACTGAGTGACTGAATGACTGAGTGACTGAGTGAATGGGTAGTCCATTTTGTTATGCTTCAAACATTTCCTCACTTCTCATTCGTTCACCGAAATACCATTTATCATTAAGGGGGTCTATTTGATTGACAGAGACAGGGAGAAGAGAAATCTCTCATTCATTTCATGTTCCGCCCTTTTCCCCTTTTTATCATCTCCAACCTTTCCTAAAAATATGTCTTCATTTTTTTTTTTTGTGAATTTTTTAAAATATTTTCACGCTAATTAAAAATATTTGAAAACATTTTTAGTCAATCAATGAAGTACAATGATATGATAATAATATTTTGATGATAATATCTGATAATAACAAATGATTGTGACAATAATTTATTGAATAAATGCAATTTATGATATGCATTATGATTTCTGTCATCTTTTCAGTTCTCAGATTTTTTTAAGTTAAATTAAAATATATTAATTATATTAAAAGACTTATTCTCTCTACTATAAAAAAATCAAATTAATTGAATAATATGAAATTTATTATTTGATTTAATCAAAAGTTTTCTAATTATAATCTACAAATAAATGCAATTTATTATATATAAAATTGTGCCTCCAAACTTTCATTATTTTTTAAAATTATCTATTTTTGTTTTTTTTTTTGTTTGTTTTTGTTTTTTGTTTTTTGAAAATTTCAACCGCTCTATTTTTTTTTTCTCTTTTTGCAGATATAATATTAATAAGTTTGAATAAATGTTCAAACTCATACATATCGATTTTTTTTCAATCATTTCATTTGAATTTCTAAAATATTTTTAAAATTTTTGCTAAAAAAAAAAACGATAAATGTGTAATGAATGTAAAATATAGCATAACAAAGTGTAAAAATAAATATGTTTGTGTGAAAAAAAAAAAGGAAATACAAAGCTTTCAAATTGAAAGCTAACAAGAAATAAACGCTGTTTCTTTTTTATTTTATTTTTTTTAAAAAAAGATTTATTAGAGATAGAAATAAGATGTTGCGATGAAAAAAAAAAGTGACATTCCCTAGTTTTTGTTGAAGAAGTATTTCAAAATTTTATCTTCTAAAATGAACAGATAGGAAATTTTATTTTTATTGCTTCTAAAAATAAAGGAAACAAAAAACACTGTAGCAAGTTACAGTATACATTAAAATGAACATATAATTTAGGTTCGTTTAAAAAGTTTGAAAAGATTTAATTCAGTTAGTCCTAAATTTTAAGCAATCAAAAAGCATTTTGTTCAATTGAAATGAGAAAAAAAAAAAAAACCATCCACATTAACCTATTTGGTAAATTTTTTTTTTTCAAAAAAGTAAATTTATTTTTTATTTGTTCAATTTAAGACTAACATTCAGTTAGCATTGGTAAATTGTACAAATTTTATCAAAATTTCAACTTCACTTTTTTTATTTTATTAAATTTTTGTGACAATTTTGTGATATGAGAAGCAGGTAAAATAATTTTAGAAAATGAAGAAGTAAATTCATTTTTCATATGTATAATATATTCTTCTAATCAAATACAATGAATTAATTTGTTTTATATGCATATAAATTATTTTAAATTGCTAAATTTTTAGAAAAGAATTTAAAAAACTTCTGCGTTTCATTTTTAAGTTAATTCGAATGATCATTTAATAGAACTAAAAAAAAAAAGCATTACTTTATTATAAAAATTATTAATTATTTTTAGGAAATGATAAGTGGAACCAATATTGGAATTCATATAATGCAATGGAATACTCAAATACTCATAGTAATAATTTTTATAACAATAATTATTAATTCCTATTTTTTTGATTTTTTTTTCAAATGTAATTGTTGAAATAGTACTCCCAATCAGTTTAATTTTCATTTAATTTCTGGTGGCTATAAAGTAATACTCAAAGATTGAAATAATTATAATTATATTTAAATACTTAATACTTAGTATAACACATTTTTAAAATAATTACAATTCATTTTTGTAATAAATTTGTAATAAATTTTACTTTCATATTAACTCTATTTCTTTTTTTGAAAAAATTTCAATTAAAATGATTAACATTTAAATATTGAAATAGCATATATTATAATTTATGTAATTCACAAACAATTATAATAGCATATATGATTGAAAATTGTTAAATGAATTACTAATCAATTGAAATGTATGCAAATAAATGTATAATATATTTCAATTAAAATAAAGTTAGCTTAAATTAATTTTTCAAATATTATTGATTGAAATTTTTGATGCATATTTTGAGTAAATTAATTTATTCATAAATAGCAAAAATATTTTATCCTTTTAATCATTTTTTTTTTCTTCTTACTGATTTATACAAAAAAAATAAATACTTTTTTATGTTTATTTGAAACAAAGTAATATCAAACAGCGATAATGGCATTTCATTTTTTTTTTTTCGCCTTAAAATGAACAATTTTCATTCAAATTGAACCAAACAAACAAAATTGGTTTATTTGGTCGACAAAATGTATGCATTCCACATGCATAAATGTATATTTCCTAAACATTAACAAATAACTGAACATTTTAGCAATTAGATGAAAATGAAACTTTTTCAAATGCTTTCAAAATTTATTCAATTCATTTTTGAAATTAATCATTTTCTTTCCTTTTTTTGTTTTGCTTTTTGTTGCTATTCCGATTTGTACTTATGAACTAATTCAATTTTATATTTCTGATATTTCTAACTAAATATGCTTCTATTTATAATGTTCAAACTATATGTTCTATTTCTAATATTTTCTAATATGTATTCCTATTTTTATTTCTAATATATGTATTCTAATTTTCTATTTCTAATATATGCATTCTAATTTTCTATTTCTAATATATGTATTCTAATTTTCTATTTCTAATATATGTATTCTAATTTTCTATTTCTAATATATGTATTCTAATTTTCTATTTCTAATATATGTATTTTAATTTTCTATTTCTAATATATGTATTCTAATTTTCTATTTCTAATATATGTATTTTAATTTTCTATTTCTAATATATGTATTCTAATTTTCTATTTCTAATATATGTATTCTAATTTTCTATTTCTAATATATGTATTCTAATTTTCTATTTCTATATGTATTCTAATTTTCTATTTCTAATATATGTATTCTAATTTTCTATTTCTAATATATGTATTCTAATTTTCTATTTCTAATATATGTATTCTAATTTTCTATTTCTAATATATGTATTCTAATTTTCTATTTCTAATATATGTATTCTAATTTTCTATTTCTAATATATGTATTCTAATTTTCTATTTCTAATATATGTATTCTAATTTTCCATTTCTAATATGTATTCCTTTTCTATTTTTAATTCTATTATTCCTAGATTTTTTTTATTCCTTTTTATATGAAATATGTATGAATATATGAATTATTTTTTATGAATTATGAATTATTATTTTTTTTTATGAATTATTTTTTATGAATTATGAGTATATATGAATTATTTTTTATATTTGTAATATTTCTACATATCATTTCTACCATATTTATTTCTATTTCAAATATATATATTCCTATTTCAAATAATTTTATATTGATAAAGTTTACAATATTATTTTTTTTTATTTCCTATTTAATTATGTTGCATTAAAGGCTTGCCCAAATAATAATTTTACTTTATTTTCCATATTTATTTGCCAAATTTATTAATGAATTCATTGAATGAAAAAATAAATAAGGATATGCATTTATGTATACGTTTGTTAAATATTTGTAAAATTTTTATATTTATCT